GGGGAAGAAACAGAAATCTTTAATAAATAAATAAATCTTAAAAAATTTAAAAAAATCACTTCTAGACATTAAATAATTATAGATATACAATAAAGACAAATCCAAATGAGTCACACTGTTGGATAAATGTATGTAGGCTTGAGAGAGAGAGAGAAGAAAAAGAGTATAAAGAGTTATAAAAACAAAGTAAATCTTTTTAAAAAAAAAAACAAAGTCTTTAAAGAGACAGAGTACAGATAGTCATAATTAAAAGAAATAAAGAAAAATGAGTCAGGTAAAAATGAAAAATTCACAGAGAGTCTGGATTATGTGTATTATTGTGTTTTGAATTTTTTTTTTTTACTGTGAAGGAGTTAAGTACAGAGAAACATTTCATTGTATGGGCTGCTAAGTTAAACCACCATAAAGGTATCTTGATTCCAAAATTTTAGTCTAAGGATATGTTGCTTTGGAAAAGAGGTTCTTCTTTTGTTTTCACAGAAGATGAGAATCTATGGATTACTTCTAGACCAATATGGTTTAATAGAGCACGACCCCCTGAAAGGTCACTGTGAATACCCTCAAAAAATAAATTCACCCAACTGCTGACTGAGATGAACCTAGCACACAGGATATACCATAAAAGACCTGATTCATAAAGCCCCCCAAAAGCAGGAAGCAGTATGGACAGAACTATGCCCATATTCCCAAATATTGTTTATAAATGTCCTTTTACATTTAAAGGGGGATATGCAATAGATATTTGCATTGGTATGGATCTTGGTTTATTGATACAAATTTAAGGTCAATTTTGTTATATGTATATATATATATTTCTGCTCTTGATTAAGGTATTGTATTTGTGTAACTCATTTAAAAATGTATTGTATAATTAAGAAATAAAGGTAAACATAGAGTCATCTATATTCTGCAGGACAGAGAAGAAAGTGACTGACAAACTGCCAATATAGGTGGAACTGTCTTTGAAATTTCCTGCTTCATGGAAAAGTCTGCTGGATACTATGGGCCTGTAGGCTGAAGATGGGTGCCCCAATTATACAATTATACAAAAGAACTTTGGGTGACTGTCCAGACATTGAGATGTCTCTGTCAATTTTAGCATTTTGGAAGTTGCTTACAATGTACTTCTTGTGTTAGGTAATATTATATCCTTCTGGAGTCTTTGATGGAGTTGAAAAATAGATAGTAATAATATAGTTTTCATTATTTATGATAAAAGATAAGATAGTTATAAATATTGTAACTATAATTTTTATTTGATACCTGTTATATGTAATTTTAATATGTTAAATTTAAAGCCTTCTTTTTTTATTTAAACAGAAACAGGGAGGTGATGTGGGTGTCCCCTCTATGTGCTGTAATTACCATTAATGAATAAAGAAACTGCCTTGGCCTGTTAATAGGGCAGAGCTTAGGTAGGCAGGGAAGATGGACCTGAATTCTGGGAGGAAGAAGGCAGAGTCAGAGAGACACCATGAAGCCGCCAGAGTCAGACATGCCGAGTCTTTGCTGGTAAACCACTGCCACGTGGTGATATACAGATTAATAGAAATGGGTTAAATTAATATGAGTTAGCCATTGAGAAGCTAGAGCTAATGGGCAAAGCAGTGCTTTAATGAATATGGTTTCTGTGTGATTATTTTGGTTCTGGGCAGCTGAGACAAACAAGCAGCCTCCCTCCAACATAGATCTAAGAAGTAACTATGAAATCTCCACAAAACACCAAGTCACAAGATTTTTCTTCTGTTTTATTTTAAAAAATATTATCCATATGGGTTTTACATGGTGTTAAAATTGGACTTTATCATACATAAACAATAGAAACAGAATCAATATTTGCCAATGAATCCTGGACCATCCTATGTAACAAGCCAATGTAGCATAGCAGCTAAGATCACTACCCACAAGTAGACCAAACTTCCAATCTCCACTTCAACACTCACTCGTTCTATGACCTTGCCTGAATCATTTGCAGATCTGACCATGTTTCTGCACTGACAAAGTTATGAGAAGAAGCATTCCCAGAGCTTTGGTTGCTCTTCAGCATCACAGGGAGGCAGAGGAAAGCACTGGAAAACAGAAGCCGCTAACTGGTCAGTACCTGAAAAGAGAACAGAATGAGGACAGTGTCCATGGCACAAAATCACAAAAGAGATTGCTGCTAAGATGTGGTGGCTCACCCCTGTAATCCCAACACTCAGGAGTCTGAGATAGGTGTATTGTGGTGAGTTTGAGGCTAGCCTAGGCTACAGAGTGAGCCTTTTCCAACCTGGGCTGCAGTGTGAGGACTTGTCTCAAAACCCAAACAAATAAAGCAGAACAAACAGCCAACTTCTGCATGGCTGAACAACCTAGATACCTGCTTTGGAATAGGACAGGGGTTACATTAAAGAAAGATGATGGCAGCCATATGGTGGTGGTACACACTTTTAATCCCAGTACTCGGGAGGCAGAGGCAGGCAAATCTCTGTGAGTTCAAAGCTGGCCTGGTCTACAGAACAAGTTCCAAGACAGTCAGGGCTACACAGAGAAACCCTATATCAAAAAAAAAAAAAACAAAAATGGCCCCCAAAACAAACAAACAAAAAAGATGATGCAAGGCAGAGTCTTAATCTACTGTTTGGCTTTCTGAATGAGGTGGTTACAGAAAGATGGTCCAGGTTCTATAGAGAAGTAGACGCAGGACTGAGTCAGCTGCCAAGGAGTGACGACAGAGGCTGAGAGTGTGCCTAGGCAGTCACAGCGGACAGCTGTTTCTAATTAATGTCCCAATAATACTAAAAGAATAGATGAACTGCTGCAAAGTACTATGGAAAGAGATCTTGGGGTAGCTTTAAGTAGCTTGTTGGTGCCTGGTGCCTGTGAGATGGGGTGATTGACAGCAGTCTCTGGTCCTGCACTATCCCAGCAACCAGGGAAAGCAGTCTGTGCTGTGGGATTAGAGGTGGGGAAGTGTGAACCCTAATAATTCTAAGGAGTTGGAAGTAAACACAAAAACTGAACGTCATCGTTGTAAGACAGGAATCGGCTCTTATAGAGGTATTTCTGGCTGAGGGAGGAGAAGTTAATTAAAGAGTCTCTGCTCTTGTTGCCCAAGCAAGTAAGAGAGGGGAAAAAATACAGAGGGAAGATGGATGGATGGAGGGAGGGGCATAGAGAGGAAGGAAGGGAAGGAGGTAGATATGGCTGGGTGGGTAAGTACCCGGTCTCCATCTTCAGTCACTACACGTAGTTTCTCCGAGGGATCTGTGGTGACAGCATGCCTTGTCATTTCCTCATGCTTCTGTTTAGTCTGGAGCCCGTCTTACCACCACGGTCTATTCTTTAAGGCCCTCATCTGATGCTCGTTAGGAGGAGTAACACTGTGAACATGTCCCCAGGGGAAACACAACGGAAGTGTTTCCACAGTGGAAAAACAAAAATCTCCTTCCAAAGACAAGACTATCCTGAACCAACTGGCCACCATATAAACAGGCAACTGGAAGTTTGTGGTATACATTTCAGTCATCACCTAGAGTTCATTTTGTTAAAATTCTGGGCTAGGAAAACACAGGTTTACCTGGTTCCTCTATCCTCAGCCCCTTCATAGACACCTGCTGTTCCGGCCACTGTGCTAAATACTGTAAGCCTCTCTCATCCATACATTTTATTGCTTAATCTGCCCAACAGCTGTGCGCTTTCCATAAAAGAAACTTGTGTTTACAAAGGTGTAAACTTGCCAGGTCCTCACTGTGAGCACAAGACACAGAGCCTTCTTGGACTCTGTAATCTAGTTGAGGAAGGTGGACCTGAGTAACGATACCCCCAAGGTATGTGTCACTGTAGACATACATTAACCCAGTGTGACTCCCACAGGAAGCTCTGGGAAAGCCTTTAAAGAATGGATAGAACTCTGGCAGCTAAATGCTGGGTCTGTGAGAAGGGAAGGGGAAGTGGAACAGCGATGTAAAGTAAAGGGTGCACGATTCATAGAGGTGCAGTGGCAGAGGGTGGCTAGTGGGGTCAGGTAGCAGTATTTCTCTGTCTTTGTAGGGCCCATGGGTCTACCCCTCCTCCTGGAGTTCATCTCGAGGACAGTTTCTGGCCAGACATTTTGTTGCATTTTCCGGCTATCCTGTGCTCCCTCTGCCACCCTGGTGGTTAGCTATAGGGCCATTGTTTACTCCACCTTGGGCGTGGTAATTTCCCACCTGCCTGGGGCGGGGTATTCCATTGTGCAGCAGCTAGGTATATAAGGTATTTCCTAAGTTTAAATAAACGGTCTTTGGCTTATCTCCTTTCAAATGACCCAGGTTTCTCGTGTGTTCTTTTAATCTCCAGGCCCTTGCCTGGCTCGCGAACAGTTCAGTGGCACGCAAACTGTACCGAGAGTAACACAGGTGTTACACATGTCCGAAGAAATGCTGTCTCGGGACTGGAGAGATGGCCCAGCGGTTAATAGCAAACACTGCTCCTGCAGAGGAAACTGAGTTCAGTTCCCAGCACCTATTTCTGTCAGCTCACAACTGCCCTTAAATCCAGCTCCAGGGGACCAGTGTTCTCTAGCCTCCCCCGCACCTGTGCTCGTGTGCACTCAGACACGCGTCATTAAAAATAACATGCATACTAAAAAGAGGAAGAAATGCAGCCTCTCACGAATCTCTGGGCTGAAGGAGGGGAGAGCAGGAAGTAGGGAGGCAGGATGAAGCTATCTCCATATCACTGGCCAGGCTTGGGGAGCATGTGCCCCCAATTCTTCCGAGGAAAGGGAGGAATTTCACTTCCCGTCTCGACTGATTTCCCATAAGTTATTCTTGTACGCATTCCTTTGAAAAATACGAGGGTTCCCTTCTGCACTGGGAAGGTTTGGTTGTTGTTAGTTTGGTTGGTTCATTGCCCTGTTTTTCATCTGGCACTAAGATGGAACCTTAGATGCATCGGAAAGATGTAAGCCAAGTGGTCCAGTGAGGATACAGTAGGCTGCTGTGGTGACGATGCAGACTGGGTTGGGGTGGGCTTTGCCTCACACCAGTGCTAGAGAGCCTGAATGCAGGAAGTCAGCAGGAGCTCTAATCGATAGGATTGTTCTGGATGAGGAGACAATGACACTCAAGTTCTAAATCCAAGTAGCCGTTTAGAATGGGGTGACCTCACTATGGGAAATCAGGCAATGGTCTAGGAAGAAAGGTAGTAAATATA